TTGGTACTGGGGTTTGAACTCGGGTCCTTGCACTTGCAAGTGCAGGCCACTGAACCACTGAGCTAAATCCCCTGCCCAAGGCTGATAGTTCTTAATGTATTCCATTCTGGCTGTTGTATGGTAAACCTCGTATAGGTTAAGAATATTTGTCAGAACATTTATTTGTTAGCTTTTGATCTTTTTCCTCTGCCAATTTTTCTTGATCTAAATTTGCCTATTTTCTTTCCTCCTTTTCTCCTGATCATTGCAACTTTGCCCCTTTAGAGTATTAGAAATTCTGTAAAAGCCTAATCAAAATGATGTGGAAGAAGCTCTTGTTCTCTTCAATCCCACAGGTTGGGGATGTTGGGGGACACGCAAAGACATAGACCAGCTTCACGGGGAATCCAGATATAAGATACCCATTTTTGTGTTGGAAGGAACTTGGTTATGGCATCCAGGAAGACACGTATCACAGGTGATTGCCCACTGTCTGGTTCTCTGCATCTTTCTGTAATTGTATAAGATAAATACAGGACTCTATGACAGAACCAAATTTGAGGTAAAACCTGAGGGAACTCCCCCAAGAAGCAGCACAAAAAACTGATCCAAAACACAAATCCTAACCGCTGGCAGAGAAGATTGCCATTTTCAAGAGAAAGTGCAGCTCCACAAAAATGAGAAACATCAATTCAAGGAAGGAGCAGGTGTTTTGGTAGAAATCAATAATAATTGGTATTAGAGCTGGATTTACATTGAGTAACTATAGCGCCTCAAGTAAGAAATGCTTCTTAAGAATGGAAAGATTTTTACCAAGGATTGGCTCTGAGTCCCCCTCACTGAAGAACATTTGATATCCCTAAATTGGTATCTCTTGCAAATTAAGTGAGAGGTTTTGGCAATAGACCAAAAGGATATATAACATAAAAATTTCTCACTTTCCTTATGTAATTACTAACACCATGGGAAAATATGTTAAAACATGGAGCAGGATATTTTTAAAATGACTGAAATCTGTGGCAAATTAAAGCATGAAAAGAAAACTCAAGAAAGCTCAAGGAAGGCTTTCTTGGGTTAGGAGGGCAGCAAATGTTCTGCACCACTTAGGTGAGAATTCACCTCAGTGTTTTTGGAACAATACCTTTGGAAATGCAAGTTTAGGATTGGAGATTGCTTAGTTCTTTAGAAAAAGAAAGCTGATCAGCACTAATTTTTTGAAAACTGGTAAGTGATAGCTATACAATCTCTTTTTTAATGTATGTTTGTATGAGTGTGTGTATTGTATCCATATGTATATTTGTTTGTCAATTAATTCCACAATATCAAATTTATTTAGAAGTAAAGGAGCACAAATTAAAGAAAACAAATGTGTTTTAGTTAACATGACTTAGATGAATGTTTGGCAAGTTAATTACATTTGTTGCTAAGATAAATGTATCTTCAGAACTATTAACCTACTTGTGGCTGCACTGATAGCCAATCAAGATTGAATGGAGAGTTTTAAATGATTTAGATGAGCTACCACCTTATTTTCTGCTAGTAGAGCTATTTCTAGGAGTCCCCACCTCCCTTAAGCAAAAAAAATAAGTTGACTATATTCATCTGTTTCACATCTTCTAAATAATGTTAAAAATAAATTGAATAACTATAAATAAGATACACTTGATCTTAGCCAAAAGGCTGAGAGGCAATATATAAACAAGGTAAATGACTATTAATGTATGTTATATAAGTAAAACACTTTATTTATTTATGATTAAATTAAATTATAAAAATACTTGGTAGGTATACATTGCCGTATTCTTGGCTTCTGAAGGTCTATAAATGATAATGTGCTTAAGGCTATAAAATGTATCTCACAAATTTTTGATGTATATAAAGCACTGCGATGTGTGATCAAGTGGTCTGATCCTTTAGTACACTCAGCTCAACAATTGTAGAGGGATTATGCTTAGAATGAAGACTTTAATCATATCAGAATGTTGTCAAATATAGATCAGTAATTTAAAGAACCTATGCTTTGTTTGATAATCTTTAAGATGACTGAAGGTCATATTTGTTCATCATTTTAAGTTACCCTGAAGTCAATAATCTGTATACAGTCTACCTGTGTGAGGTCACAGTTCAGAGTTTGAAGCCTCGGCCTTTCACAGTGTTTGTTCTTTAGAACTTTAATAATTGTCGGCCAAAACTCTGCAATTCTGTGGAAACCGCAAATATCTTCTGCAGTTGTTTTTTGGTGGGAGGTTTGCAAGTAGCCCAATCCAATTTCAGTTCTCCTTGCTGTTGATTGGCCAGTCGGCCATCTCCAGCAGATGCACCAGCCTGCCTGTTTTGTACTGGGTTGCTGGTCCTAAAATTCCTACAATGCCGTCAAAATGCCCTGCACCTTCTAAGGCTTTATTATACAGTACAATATTAAATTAAATTATATAAATGTAGGAGACATAGCACATTTAGGGTTTAAACTATAAAAATAGGAATTTTTTTTGGACCATATCTGAAGTCCATCATTTTTCACAATTTGCAGGTGCTCTAGAAATGTAATCCCTGTGACTTTGGGGGGTCCACAGCAATGACAACTCATTTTATATTTAGGAAAGAGTGCTAGGAAAACATCTTTCATTTTGCTGTAAAGGACTATTAAAAACACTACTACAAATAGAGTTAATAGCTATGACTCACCTGACCTGTTAATTAATGTGCTTATTTATGCGATCTAATAATCACCATTTTAAAATGCTAAAAAGCTGACTTGTTTCCCTGCAGCAGGAAAACTGCTTCTGTTTTCCTACTTTTTACTCCTTTAAGTTGAGGTACCTAAAAATGTACTTTTAAAATCATTTTGTTTTTGCAGGAAAGCCTGACAAGTTTCAGAAACAAAAACTTTCAGCTTTTATCATACCAAATGTGCATGTGTGTTTTTTTACAGGGATGGATGTACAGTGCTTTCATCTAGACACTGTGGGTAGACCATAGAAAGAGAGAGGTAGTCCCTGCCCAGCAGCTACAAGGAAACTGATGTCCCGAGTCTGAAACCTGAGGGGAGGATGTTCCTTCTATTAACTCCACTGAGCACTAATATAGATCCTTCTCTGTTGAGCCTTGCATGAGACCATAGCCAAATACCTTGATTGCAACCCTGAAGAACCACAATGCAAGAGCCCACTAAGCTGTGTTGAGACTACTGACCCACAAAGCTGTGAAGTCATAAATGTGATAAGTTACTACATGTTTGGTGTTTTTGTTAAACAGAAAAGGATAATTGACATGCACTATGACCAAAACTACTACTATACGCCACGTGAGTTAGGATGTGAGCTCATACTCCAGGAGCCCAGTCTAATTTCCTGTGTGGATAGAGGCCCCCAATGTAAGGACCTAGAACACCTGCAGGACCCCCTCCTCTATCAGTAATAGGATAAGATGTTGATATTTAGAGGGGTACAGTTGTATAGAAAGGAGAGCCTCCAGCTCCATCATTTAGATGAGAATGTGCAGTAGTGGGTATGGGGGATTCCCAATAAAAAAAGACCCATGCAACTACTGTGATCCACTCCTAGCACGCAGGACAGAGGACTCTTTCTCTTTATTGGGAGCAGTGAGAATAGTATTGACTAAGCCAGGACAAACGTTTTCTAGAGGTTGGAATGAAAGAGAAGCTTATCAGGGGAAAAACCCATACCTTCCCTCCTCGGGGAACCCTTTCCATGTCCCAGATGGTATCCAGACAACAGCCTTGGCTCTGAGACCCTCCTCTTGGCAGTCAGAGATCTACCTTGGAATTTCCAGTTGAAGTCTTGACCCTAAGCAAAGCTCATACTTGCCAGAGCTCACTGTTTCTTCCCTTTCTCCCACTCTCCACTTTCCCTGTATCTCCCGCAAACTCCTCCACCATCTTGCTGTAGTGTATCCCAAAGAACACCGCTACCCAACAAAGATTCAGTGCAAAAACATGTGTCAGTCCAGCAGAAGCCAGTGTAAGCTGAGATTTGACCATTGACTGCCGTGAATTATGAAGTGAACCCTCCTCTAGCAGAGCAGTAGCCCCAGCAATACTCTGTCAATGTGGATATGGGTTCGCCACGGATAGTGGGACCACTTGATGGCACATATTCTGTACCTGATGAATTAAAGCTTTGAGAAAAGCTTAAAAGCATTTTCCTCTCCCATTGATATTTTTATCACCTTAATCAAGAGCATTAGAGAATGTTGCTAGAGGTGAAATCAGACATTGTAAATACTGGAAGGAAAAAGGGAGTTTGGATTTTTTTTTTTAATACAAAGCCAGACTGTTCTTCACCTCAGTCTCATGGTCCTTGCCTAGACCAGGTTGGATTCATTATCTCCTTTTACAGAAGATCAGTGTCACTTTGCCCTCCCTTTCTTTCTCTTTTGCACTGAGTTTGGAATGCAGGGCTCTACACACACTAGGCCAGGGCTATACTAGCGAGATACACACACAGATCTTCACACGCCCTTTATATAACTGACTACTGCATTCATGATATTCTGGGTACATGGGAAGGAGAAAACCTTGTTAGAAAATAAAGACACACATCCATGAAAGCCATCCTCTGCATGGTACCAGCTCACGGGGACCTTCTGGTCTTCCAGGCGCTTTTTGTAGAGCAAGGTGTCATCGCGGAGGATATCATTCTCACAGCTCACCAGGAAGGCCTCAGGAAGTTGAGCTATGATCTCATCATCTACAAGGATGGGTGTGACTTTTACGTCTAATGCTTGTTTTGTTTCCAAATAAGCAGCCTCGTCAAAAGGCCCAGGAAATGGGGCCTCATGGTATTTCTTCTTGTATCTTTTGGGGATGTTGTCAGAGCTGAGCCATTTTCTGTACTTCTTCCAGTGATCTGGGTGTATACAAGCACCGCTCAACATGGCTTCTCTCCATGAGAAGTCAATGGCAAAATATTTACACACACACATCAACATGAACTCTTGAGTGAATGGTGGGACATTTTTGTTCTGCTGATGGGATGGTAACTGGAGATTAATGCACTGGATAACTGTATAAATCAGAATCTGAGCCCGGATGTGGGGGAGATCTGTTCTGTTCACCAAGGCCTGAATGACCATTACCACAGCCCATCCTCCCATACTATCCCCACAGAGCACCACCCGGGAAGGGTCCACCCCATAGGCACTCAGGTTTATGAGGAAGTGGACTGTGGCAGTCAGGCAGTCTTGGATAAGAACAGGGTGATGGTGGTCAGGAAGTTGGCGGTACCTAAGGAGAAAAGAAGAAACAAAGCAGAGATGTACATGGGTGTGGTATCGATATCTAAAAAATGCCCACATGCCCTTCACCCCAAACTTGTTTACTTTCTCAGAATAACCCTAAGAAGTAAAGATGGGAATTTCCATTTTCATCTATGTGGGTGTGAAGAACCTTCCCAGAGTTAGGTTGTCCTGAATTTCTAGTTCCCAATCCTGCTTTGCTTCTCATAGGTGTGCAAACTCCATACAAGATGGCACAACTTGCTAACTACTAGATTTTTTAAAACTTACAAATCTGAAGACAAACCTTATTGTTACCCAGTGTCTTAATGAGTTGCCTTCTCTTCCAGGGCCAAGGTGAAGGGTTCAGGGCTGGGAGGTGAACAGGGCTGGAGAGAAGGTCCACCAAGCAAGAAACAGATGTAGCCCATGCTGTGGAGGACCCAGGCCCTGTGACTGAGAATCCTCCTGAGGGGTGGTTTTAAGCATTTTCAGGATTGTCTCCAAAACATCTCCTCAGATACATCCAGAAGCCAGGAAAAAGAACTTTAAAGTGGATCTTTCTAGAGGGGAAAGCACAGTCTAACTAATCAATGGATCAAGAGTGGTCCCCAATAAATAATATATGTAGGTTTAGGCATGCTAGTTTTGCCCAATAATAAAATATATCTTTACATTCTTTCTTCATCTATATTAACAGTCCTGCATGCAGAACCTGAAGCTTCTAAGAAAAAAGTCTGAAAGGGGCTGTATTCTATTTTAGCTCAATTTTGCATCTTTTAAAAGTGGTCATAAAGGAGATGTGTCTGATCCATGTCCCGTTATTGACTTGTGGCCTTGAACAGCTAGTTGTGTGGCCCACAAGACTGTAAACTTTTACATAAAATTCTTATGTAAGTCTGTGATAATTAGATAATTAGATTTTGTGGTGTTCAAGTGCTGACTCCATAAGTGAAGATGGAATGCTGTATAGGGGAGGTTGAGTTGCAGTGCAAATGCCTGCCATGCAGCCTAAACAAAACCAACAAGGGCCAAACATTTCCTGCTTTTGTGTCACTTGCTAAGTAAAATGCAGGGATTGCCAACTACATTACAATCTACTGACACATATGTTTGCCTCTGAAGGCAGGCGTTTATTGTTATTATGCAAACATGTGAGTTCTTATTGTTAAACTTTTGTATGGTTGCCAGTCTGTTTTCAGGCAACATAAAGGCATCCTCTGCAAAGTTTCAAATGAAATATGTAGTTTCAATCAGACTTTCAAAGACAAATTTGAGCATAACTTTTCACAACAGACCTTTCTTTCCAGTCAAAAACATACCTCACTTACCAATCAGGCCTTACTTGTGTAATTTTTTTGGCAGTAAATACATTTATGAATAAGTATTTCTAAAAATGAAGTATACAACCCATAAAATTGGGTTAAACACTTCTGAAGAGCATACTGCGAACTAAGACTTGCAATCACTTTCAAGACACCAGACAGTGATGCTTTTATGTCATGAAAAAGTAGTTCAACTATGGAGCTCAGTGGTTAAATCTGAAGAAGCTCAGATGACCTGAAAACTGGAAGGAATGTAAATAGTAAAGACTACTATGCAGATGAGGTTTCAGATAGAAATGTGGACTATACTGCAAGGAACAGATACCATTCTTGTTACACCATGACAAAGAAGTAAAATGCATCTTGTCCATGCTGACTTTATGCAGAAACAGCTCAATGGTGATGCATTAATTTTTCTGGTGGAAGAAATCACAAGCCCCACAGCACTGAGGTGCCATCATAGGTATTATGGGACATATTCAACTAGATTTACATTGTGAATCAGGAGCAAAAAGGAGAAGAGCAGAAAAGTCTGACTTTTGGAGAAATTAAGTACTTGTACAGGTGCACTCATGGCCAGGGATTTAGCTCATTGGCACTGCTCCTGTCTCGCCAGTGCAAGGTACTGATTTTGATTCCTGGTGCCAGACAAAAAAAGTACATGCAAACAGGGTGCCCTCGCTAAAGAAATCGCTATCATTATTAAAATAAGGGAAGAATTTGCACAGGGACAATAGAAAAGATTCCTGAAATCTGCAAGGCCACAGGTATCACAGGCACAGTGATGTGAAAAATACAAATTAATTTCAAAGATTTTCCATGGGAGTCTTTTGTAAACACGGTCCCAGAATGCCCTGTTGACCAGGACTACTTAAGCTACAAAAGCAATCAGGGGCTGCTGCAGTCATCGAGCAGCATTATATTATACCTTTTCACAAGCAGCAGGCTTGGGCATTGTCCAGGTAATACTGGTTTGGGAAACACATAGAGCATAAAAGTTATGGAGTCAACAAAGCTTCAACCGAAATTCCAAGTTAAGCATGAGAGGCCAAGGCAGTGTGTTGCAAAGTTTGAGTCCCTACAAGCAGACCTTGTTATGGCAGTATGTGAGGCTGTGAAGATGAACCCAAAACTGAAATGAAGATGCCAAGAAGGCAGAGGAAAGGGATGAACAAAAGAATGAAGATGTTGGGCCAGGGATTTAGCTCAGCGGTTCCGTGGCCTGCCTTGCAAGGACCTGAGTTCAATCCCCTGTAACAAAAAAAAAAAAAAAAAAAAAAAAAAAAAAAAAAAAAAAAAAATAAAGATGCTACTTACATGTACCAATTCCTCATGGGCAATGTAATCATTATGTCCTACCTGGTAAAAATGAAGGAAGTAAGGAAGAAGAAGAGGAAGAAGAAGTGGGAGAGGAACTGGAGGAGGAGGAGGAGGAATGCCCTGGATGCCAGACATGGAATAGGGGGATTTAATGTTTAACCCTGCCAGATTTTGGCCTTGTTTGGGTATCACCCCTCTCCCCTTGTTTCAGTGCCTCCAGGGAATCTCCTTCCAGTCCCTACCCACTATGGTCCTCTGAAAGCCTCCAACCCCCTTTGTGACTGAGTCAGCTATCCACAGCCTGCTCTGTCAGAACTTCTCTGCCCCACAGTCCAAGTCTCTGCTTGAATCTGGATGAATGATCCACTGTGCATGTTCCTACAAGATATCAGTGTAGGTGCTCACTCTCTGTACTTCTTGTTCAAGGGGTCTTCATTATCTCAAAGTCTTTGAAGATGTGGGCTACAAGGAGTCAATTCAGACACAGCTGAAGTCAGCTGGGTTCTGAAAAGATATTCCCCTCTTTAATCTCTTCAGAGATGCTGAGTGACTTGCTGGAGTCACACACAGTGTCTTCTCACCTTGATGACAGTCAACAATTGTGGGTTGGTGTCTGCTGTAGAGGCAGAATCTTATTGTGTGTGATTTACTTTCCTTACCTTCTGTATATGCACTGTCTTGCTTTCTTGTGATTTCTGAGAGAAAGAGCAAGACTCATACTGAGTAGCCCCACGATACATACCTAGATCTACTTGGAGGCTCCATTGGTTTTGAAAGAATCAGACTTGTGATTTGGCCCCTTAATGACTGGCAGTTGTTAGGTAGGTGGATATTTGTTTTTTGTTTGATTGCTTGAGACAGGGTCTCAAGTAGTTGAGACTGACCTGGAACTCACTATGTAGCTCAGGCTGGTCTCGAACTCACAGCAATCCTCCTGCCTCATCCTCCCGAGTGCTGGGATTACAGGTGTGCACCACCATACCCAGCCTGAGTGGGTGGTTATTTGATTAACACAGTGAGCACCTGCAGGTCCATCACTCTACCTATGGTCAGGATTTTCACCATGACCTCGATTGAACACTCAATACATCACCATGTTTTCCAGCTAGATACTTCTCCAACTGAGAGGAAACTTACCCTGTACACTGTATTCATCGTGCCTTTTCTTTCCTTTTTAATCATTTTACTGTGTTATGTGTATTCCTAGGTGATGTTCTATTGATTTTAACTGTTTTTATTTTCATAAAAAGAAAAATCTATGTAATTCTTCAAGAAATTTTCACTTATTTCACATTACTAAGATCTATACACATCCTGGTGTGCCCTTCTGGTTAGGGTTAGGGTTAGCACCAGGGTAATGAGCAATCTGCGGTTCACTGCTCCATTTCTCATCCGCGCACTTCCCTGTGGCAGGCACCATTCCGGGCTTGTGCTGCTCTGAAGGGAGTTGTGACTGTGTCCATCGGCACTGAAGCATCAGCACCTCTGGGGTCAGGTCCCCACTATCTCCTCGACAATCATCCAGGAATCCTCTTTCCGCTCCTCCTTCTACAGGAAAGCCACCAACTTTCTCAGGCAACTCACCCCACCAACAGCACCACAGAGTCCGTCTCCCGGGACAGGAAACTGCACAGGTTGTGGTAAGAATCTGCAAGACAAGGCCAGGCCCTTCCTGTCAACACAGCCCAGGAAGAGCAGCTTCCATGTGGGCAGGGTAAGATCTCTATGTTCTTACTTTTTTCCTCCTCTCAGTTGACTGAGGCTGGTTCAAATATCGAAGCTAGAAACCTATCCCAAGCCAGACACTGGAAAACCATCTCCTGAATATTAAGGTACTAGAGGACCCTGATACCCACCTTCCACAACATTTAATTTTACAGTGGAGAAAAATGAGGGTCTAGAGGCTTAGGGATTTCAAGAGTACAAGGAAGTGAGTTGGGCATGCCTGATGTCTGCCTATGAATATTATATATAAATATATATGAAGGGCCGGGACATGTCTATGAGTAGTGTGGTACACCTGAGTTGTAGAGCACAGGCACATTAATGTTAGTGGGTAGCACATCCAGAGCCAGTGCCTGCATCCAACATCTATTTGCACATTTACTGTTATAGTTTGTATCTAGGTGTCCTCATGCACACACAAGCGAGGCTTTTGGAAGATGCCTGAACACGTATAGCTACATGTGATGTTAGGAGGTGGGATGCGGTTGGAAGAGATAGGTCACAGAGTGACAGACTTGGTATGAGAAGTGGGGCAGGAGGACCAGTCAGGGATGCAAAGGGGAAATTGAAAGTAAGACAATGTAAACCCCAGTGGTCCTGCGCAGTCCAAAGCAAATCATGGACAGTGATCAGTGTGAGCAGGCAGGACAAGCTGTGGATATGAATAGGACAGGGAAAAGTCAGTGCCCTGGCAGCCTTTTGGGGACTTTGTTCCCATATCTGATTCACATTATTGTGTAATGCAAACCACTCCCCATAGACACAGCCACCCCATCAACTGACATGGGTCCTAGTTTCAATCAGGAATCCCTCCCACCTCTGATTCCTTTTTAAAAATTTTTTATTACTGAGTTTACTGGTACTTTTTAAGCATACAGTACAGTTACATTCATCACTGGGATTTTGTACCTGATTCCTTTAACTCATCCGACAGCTTCTTCTTGGAGTGTGGGTGAAATTATACTACTCTGAGACCCCTTCCTCTCTCACATTACAGGGAAGCCTCTTACCCAGGCTGCCGAACATTGCTCCTCCTCCATGGTAGAAGACAATGCCTCGCCGGGGGCTGGAGGACACTGTTTGGGGCTGGAAGAGCCTCACAGGGATTGTCCCAAAGCGCAGGTCAGTCACCACCACATTAAGATTTTCCTTTACTACAAATATGTCTTGTAAAAAACAGCAAAAGTGGGGCATGGAGCAAATTTTCAGCTTCTCAAGTATGTTTCCCTGTTGGAAGGAAAGGAGAGAGAGAGACCTGTGGGTTACTATAAAAAACCTTTGACTCTTTTTACCCAGCTGGCTTGGCCCATTCTCCTGCCCGATCCAGATGAGATCATTGAGCAAAGTTCCTATGTGAATGTGATTTGATTCAGTTCCCCTAAGGAATCCAGATGAGATCATTGAGCAAAGTTCCTATGTGAATGTGATTTGATTCAGTTCCCCTAAGGCAGGGATATCATAAAGCTCTAAACATTAGATGCACAGGAAAAACAAGGAAGAGGTGATTTCTTCTTATCAGATGAAATTTCCTCATGACCACCCTACAAAACACCCATGGCCAGGCTGGACTTATTTCTATGCTGATTTCTTTTGACCATCCTGTTTCGCATTTTTAAGGTATGGCCAGTATCCATTTATTATCTCATGGAGGAAGAGCAGAAGGGGATACAGACTGAGAGGGTGTGTCCAATCCTTCAGAAACATGTGGCGAAAGCCACTGTTTTTAGTCCCTGAGCCACACTGTGCCCCCTTGAACCCTTTCTCTACAGCCTGACTGCAGCAGAGACAAATGGCTGACCCAGAACTTTCCTGCGACTCAGGCCTCTCCAATTCAGCCTTTGTAGTGGAAAGATCTTTGTTCTATCCCCCCTCCTGCCTGAAACTAGCTGGCTTCAATTCAGTATATTATATTTTTGCTCTCCATTCCTTCTTTCACAAAGTGGAAACAATTAACATGTATCTCCAAGGATCTCTGGGCGGAGTCAATTTATGGAAAACATCACAGAATATTGTTGGTCCAGCTGCGTCCTTCTTCTGTGACTCCTTAAACATATGCTTGGCAGGGACTGTCCCTCTCTAACATGTGACCAGGACAGCACACAGGGATTCAGGCCACAGGAAATTCTATGGTAATGGCGACTTTAATTCCTGAGGGCGTGATAGGTGAGACTACAAAGTGTTAGCCACAAAGGTCTCACAAACATTCATCAATCAATTCTCTTACCAGCTGTACCAGCTGAGGCGAGACCTGAACCACTAAGTTCTATATGCTACTCTGCAAACAGGATATCCACACAAGGCCGTCCTGGGAAGAGAATTTGGTTGGTGTGTTAGATGCCCATGGGTCCACCACATGACCTCCCATTTCACTGCAGGAAATAGCAATGATCTTAGAAGGTCCTCAAGGTCCGACTCAGCTCCCCTCCACAGCCTCCCTGTTGCCGTCTCCTTCTCATCTGTACACTCTGTCTCAGCCCCACTATCATCTTCCCATTCCCCTACCACACATGTCCTGTGAACACTTTTACCCCAAGGTGGCCTTGTACCTTATCCCCCACCTGCTCTCCAGCTGGTCAGAAGCCCTCAACTGGTCATCACTGATTAATGATCATTATCTAGGGCTGGAATCCTATGTGGCTCTGTACAAACTGCTTTCCCCACACCTCCTCTTGTCTGGCCCGAGGATCTCGCTTCCCTAACAGGACAGTCATTTGAGAACAGTATTTACCCATGTTACCACCAGCAGCAGGATGCAGTGCAGAATCTGAAGCTTCACTGGATGGCTGATGGCAGAAGGCAGGTGTGCAGTGCGGAAATGCTCCATGAGAACCCACATGCTGATGCTCAGGCCCAGAATGCAAGCAGCAATGAGGAGGATCTCTAGCAAAATATTCATGGTGCTCTTCTTCCTCCAGAGTAAGCTGAAAAATCCCTGTTCCTTCAAAGAACTCTCTCACTCACACAGCATGCAACTTGTTGTGCCTTGTAGCACAACTCCAGGGCCTGACTATATTCTACAGGTGGAGACTTTGGCACAAGGGAGACACTCTCTTACGAAATGATTACAACAGATCCCAGCTGGGCAGGCCCTGTCCTCGTAAGACTTGAGCCGTGGCTCCTTGTCCCCAAGGAACACCCTGCTTCCTCACTCTCCTCTCACCGTTATTGTAGGGGTGGGAATCAGTAGACGAAGAAATAGATTAGGAGCTTCATTCGGTCTTCTGTCTAATCCTGGCTGGAAGGAGTTAAGAACAAGAGCCAGATGTGACATTACCACCCTGGTCAGAGGATGGAGAGTCAGGGAGCTGGCGCTTCTCAGATAGGATGCCAATACCTGTCTAGGCCCCTGGGAGACTGTGGAAACTTTCAAAGGCCATGTAAGATGTCCAGTGCCTTATCTCTGAGTTGCAAAATCAGAGATTACTTAGGTCATTTGAGTGCTAAGGTAAGGTGAGTGAGGAAGAAGACAATGGAGATCTGGGGCAATTGTCCGCACCCCCCTCTCACCTCTTCTCTGTTCCTTGATTTTATCTGTTAACCTTAGATAGCAGCTTCACAATTACTCCTTAGAGCAGCCATGTCTTTTATCTTCTATATTATTACAGTGTGACGTCTAGGGCCTGGATGATCCAAAGGGACTTACTCTTCCACAAGGGAATACTCTCAGCCAGCTGCTATATTGATATCTATTAGAACAGACCGCTATAGTCTGCTGAAGTTGTCCCAGCTAACCCAGGCTGAACCTCTTGAAGTTGCCTGGCATTCACCTTAATGGAGAATCAACAATACAGACCTGCGGCTTCCTATTCCTTCTGCCCAGTGACCATTCCATTTGCTCCCTGGATTCCTATGCTGTGGGTCCCCTTCATCTTGAAAAATGAAAGAAGCAAACTATCTAGTCAACCTATGCAGACTCTGTTGCAGTGTTGCCACCTATGGAGCCAAGCTATGCACTGCTAGGAGCAGGAAGATGCAGGGCATGGGATTAATATGTTCATCCTGGTTACAAAGTATCGATTTAGAATACCCCAGTTTCACCGATACGCTTAGAATGCACGAGGCACAGTGCTCAGAATCAAAGGATTTGATTATATCACAGCAAACAGTGTGAACTCCACGCTAGCGGTGGTCTCCTTGACTTCGTGTTCTAAGGAAGGACACAAAGAAATCCGGTGGGCTGATGTGCTCAGGAGGATTGTGTCACAGCAGATGAATGCAAACTTTCAGGTACCTGAAAATTTTAATAGGCAAACAAACATGCTTAATATTTTCCCACTGTGTTTATCATACTTAGCACTAGATATATTTGCCATCTAATCCAGCAGGAACAAAAATGTCTATATTCCAAGGAAGTGTAGTCTATTCTCCTTGATAAGATCGTCTGGATCAAAGACCATTCATGCCTCTGTTCCCAAGAGGCACAGAAACAGAAGAAACTCAGGAAGGTCTTCCTCCCAGTAATGTTGCCCCCTAGTGGCTACATGGTCTTGGTTTCTTCCTGGTTATCATTGGCAATTGTTAGCCACTGTGATTCACCTGTGACAGAGGCTGGGGGCGAAACATTCTTCAACTAATCTTTTATAGCATTTAATTAAAGATTCTGTCCATCTTTTCTAGGGTCAGGCTATGCCGCAGCAGATCCAGCCAGTTGTACAAAGGTGATAAAAAAATTGGAATTACTTTTCTCATATTTTTTCTATTCCCTTCTTCACTTTCCCCTACCCTTCCCACTTCCCCTACTCTTTTATCCCTTTTCTTCCTATTTCACACTATCAATTATACAATTTGAACCTTATTTACACTTCTAGTCTTTCATACCAGAGAAGCTTATGCAGTATTTACACATGTATGTACTATTTATTTTACTTAAGAGTATGGCCTCAATATGCATCCATTTAGCCATAAATGACCCTAGTTTCTCAGTCTTTATGGCTGAGTAGCACTCCATTTTATAGCAAAACCACATCTTTATCCAATCTCCAGCTGATGGACAATTGGGCTGTTTCCAAGTTTTAACTGTTACAAACTGAAAAAAAATTGAAACAAACTCTTTGTAAATAGGGAAGGGTGGAGGAGGGTAAAGGAAGGGAAGGGGTATGAGGATAAAATAGGAACCAAGATGCATCATGTAAAAGTACAAGATCCCAGTGATGAATGTAACTGTACTGTACACCTAGAAAGTACCAATAAACAATGAAAAAAATCGGGATTACCTTGGGAAGCCAGGTGTTCCTCTCCATCCATTTTTGTATAAATTTTTCTGTCTCTCAAACACTGATCCTGGTAAATAGGATGTTTAGCTGTTGCACAGACTGTCACAGCTCATAAATAGGAAATGCAAGACATTGTTACCATCCATCGTAGCTCTGGGAATGGAGCTGGTGCTTCCCTGAGCATCTCAGGTGGAGTTTCCTTAACACTTAGAAATCTCCTATGATATAGACACAACAAAGACGGCTAATCCACACAGACAGCAGGCTGCTAGTTCACACAAGAAGCAACTGCACAAAGGAGGCATTTTACTTTTATGGAGTGTCATCCTAGTTTCACACACCTCCAATTTCCTTATTTGAGGGAGTATATCAGGTTGTTTGTTTGTTCATTTGTATTTCTTCTCGAGGAGTTTGGTGGCTTTCTCCTTTTATTAACCATTTCCTTTACTGTGCTCTCTTATCTCTCAAAAGTGCTGCTCTTTCTGTTCTCTAACAGGTGGATTTTTCAATACTTTATTCATTCCCTGTTTCTGTTATATATCCAGAGTCCAGAATTATATGGCTTGGGCTCAAACCTGTCTTGTAGCTTGTTTACTGTTTGGCTTTAAGCAACTTATGCAAAAATGTATATTGACAATTTTAAAGACATCCTTATTCTTATCTTACCAAATAATTTAATTTCTTTATTAAAGATTTTTCTAGTCTTGTAAATAAAAGACATTTATGCTAATTACATAAGCATTCATTTAATTATAAATCACCTTAAACAGAACTTTTGGTATCTTATCATGTAGGTATGTCAGGCAGGTAGTTAGACATTAGCAGGCTTGAGGGGCAAAGTGAGTGTAAAAGTAACATATTTCACTGGTTATAGTTACATGAGGAAAAAGCCCTCCATGTGTAATACTTTTAAATCATTTATGAGCTCTCAGATACAAAGACACAGGATATTTATTCTTAGAGCAGAGCCTGCGTTGTTCCTAGTTACTATAGCTTGCAGCCCAAAGACACAGGAGAGGGGAACACTCTTTAAAGACCCTTATACCTAAGGCCGAGATTCAATTTAGATTAGAACTTTTTCTTTATAAATTGATTTTCTGTTCCTGTCATGGTTAGATCTGGAATGTCCCCCGAAAGTCTCACTTGTTTGTAAGGTGACTGGATCATGGGGGTGCTTTGCTCACGGTGATGAGATCAGAGCTGAATGTACTGTTGTGAGTTGGGACTTGGATAGAGGGGACAGGCACTGGAGACACAACCAGGAAAGATGTGTTCTTATCTGCAGCTCTTCCCTGCGCTCCCCTCCCCAGCCCTCCCCTCCTCTTCTCTCATCTCCCCTTACCCCACTCTCCCCTCCTGTCCCTCTGGCCCTTGGGTCTCTCTCCTTCCTGGCTTCCAAGATGTGAGGAGCTTTTCTTCCCACATGGCTTCCATCTTAGAGCTGAAATGCCATGGACTGAACACACTATAACTCTGAACCAAAAACAAACCTCTCTTCCTCTAAGTTTCAGGTGTCATATATTTTGTCCCAGCAACTGGAAGCCTGACTAATATAGTTTGTTACATAACTAAGACCCCTGAAAGAACACTGGCCATCTAACAGAAAAAGAAAGACATTTTGCAATTCCAAAGTAACTTCTAAGAAAACCGTCAATACAATCCACCATGTAGATAAAACAATAGTAAAATGGCAATTCTCAGGAATAACTATTAGTGCATATCTAAACTTGTGCAGTGCAGATTTTTAGGTGGCCCTGCCCACCTTCTTACTTGAAGGCATAAAGCTCTCGATATCTGTTTTATAATTAACTCTGCCTACACCTCTTCAAGGCCCAGGCATGTTTGCAAATTCTTTTGTCAAAGACAGTGATCCAAGGAGTGACAGCTGGTTCCTGGAGACATCAAGACCTGGTTTCCTGGGAACACACACATTCTATTATATACATAAAGGTAACATGCAGAGATATATACGTACATTAACAAAAGATTGCATCACCCTTACGTTAACAGACGTTACATTTCTTGTTTGCAAGTTTTATGTAAGCCTTGAGCCTAGCGGTTTTAGAAAGCTGTAGCCACATTTAACACTCCTCCCCTCCTATTAGTCCTAAGTTTAAAGCTTGCATTTTATCTCATGTTGGCTGGGACAAATTCCAGTGAAACTTGAATAAATAACTGGTTTATCCAGCATTAATAGCAGAAAAAGTTCAGATAGTATTGCCAAATCCTACTTGCAGGCCAAAAAACCAAACCAAAACAAAACAAATCATAAGGTGAACTCAGAAATTGAAAAAAAATAAATGTAGAACCAAAGCAGCTGACAGTATATTAGCTAAAGTTACTTCCACGCACTGTAGGCCGGTTTACATGAGTGTATTTTTAATTAAGCTTTTTCTTTTGTATTTATTGTCAAATAATTATAGGTTCATATAGGAAGTTAAAAAAATATTTAGGAAGGTCTTATACCTTATTTACTAGTATCTCTCAAAGTTCACATCTTTTATAATTATAGTACAGTATCAAAAGAGAAATTGAAGTTGATATAGTCCATAGACCTTATTTAGTTTTTACAAATAATGAGCACTGAATTTTGTATTTGTGAGTGTACCCAAGAATGTGTGTTTGTAGCTTTATACAAATTTATCGTTTATGGAACCTGAAGTAATCAAAATATTGACCAAGA